ATTTTCTGTTGTCATGGGAGTTCTGTGTGCCAAGTTTGGTTCAATTCCATCATTGGTGGAGTTCAGAATGCTCTTGATTGTAGGTGAACTATAAATCCCAGCAACTACAACTCCCAAATGACATATTTTCCCCCAACTCCACCAATGTTTACATGTGGGCATATTGTGTATCCATGCCAAGTTTGGTCCAGTTTCATCATTGTTTGAGTCCACAGTGCTCTCTGGATGTAGGTGAACTACAACTCCAAAACTCAAGGTCAATGCCCACCAAACCCTTCCAGTATTTTCTGTTGGTCATGGGAGTTCTGTGTGCCAAGTTTGGTTCAATTCCATCATTGGTGGAGTTCAGAATGCTCTTGATTGTATGTGAACTATAAATCCCAGCAACTACAACTCCCAAATGACAAAATCAATCCCCCCAACCCCACCAGAATTCAAATTTGGACTTATCAGGTATTTGTGCCAAATTTAGTCCAGTGCCTATCAGATATTTACATTACAATTCAGAACAGTATCAAAATTACAGTTACGAAGTAGCAACGGAAATAATGTTATGCTTGGGGGTCACCACAACATAAGGAAAGGAAAACAAGAAAAATAGTAACACGAGAAAGAACAAGAAATATAGTAGCATCTCTACAACTTTATAAATATAAATATATATAGTGTTTTCTCTCTTCCCCCCACTGATACAAGTATTTAAAATTGGGTTTTTTTTCCCCTGCAAGCATATATTTCTACACGTATATTCCAAAATGCATGCTCTTCTTTGCATATATGCTCAGAATTCCAAGGGTTCTTTTGCAATTTCTTCCCCACACTCCAAAATCTATCCTTACTGAACAGAATTAAAGATTCACACAACAGGATAATGTTGTCAAATTACAAGAGAAACTCTTAAGTGCTTCCCAGGATGGCTGCGCAGCGAGAAAACCCTTTGAAGAGCTTACATAAAACTGTAATTTGTCACCCTGATTACATCACTATTGCAATATTTATGCTTCAGCTCTAATGTTATGGACTTCTCCTTAAATAATCGCCATTGCTACTATTAAAGGGTGTATACATCAGGGTTGGGAGGCTGTTTATTTATAAACACATGCTCTACTCCCGTGTTTCTCAGCCTGGGGGTCGTGAGGGGGTGTCAAAGGGGTCGTCAAACACCATCAGAAAACATAGTATTTTCTGTTGGTCATTGGGATTCTGTGTGGGAAGTTTGACCCAATTCTATTGTTGGTCGAGTTCAGAATGCTCTTTGATTGTAGGTGAACTATAAATCCCAATAACTACAACTCCCATATGTCAAGGTCTACTTTCCCCAGACTCCACCACTGTTCACATTTGGGCATATTGAGTATTCATGCCAAGTTTGGTCCAGATCCATCATTGCATGAATCCACAGCACACCTCTGGATATAGGTGAACTACAACTCCCAGTCTCAAGGTCAATGCCCACAAAACCCTTCCAGTGTTTTCTAGTCGTCATGGGAGTTCTGTGTGCCAAGTTTGGTTTAAATCCATCACTGGTGGAGTTCAGAATGCTTTTTGATTATAGGTGAACTATAAATCCCAGCAACTACAACTCCCAAATTACAAAATCCTCCCCCAACCCCACTAGCTTTCACATTTGGGCATATCTGGTATTTGTGCTCATTTTAGTCCAGTGAATGAAAATACATCCTGCATATCGGATATTTACATTACAATTTATAAAGTAGTAAAATGACAGGTATCAAGGAGCAACGTAAACAATAGTATGGTTGGGGGTCACCACAACATAGGGAACTGCATTAAGGGGTCACGGCATTAGCAAGGTTGAGAACCACTGCTCTACTCCGCTTATAGACAAATACAAAGAAGAGAGCATAGACCAGTGTATCCTCATTCTACATCTATATATATACACATCCACACATACCTATGCTTCTTCAAAGACAACTATGCATGCATTCATATGAGGAGTGGCTGAAAGACCCCTTTATCCATCTTCTTTTTACCAACAGGGTAATCTGGCCTGTTTTTTTTGAAAGAGGGAGATACCTATATCTATCTAAATAGATATAGGTATCTTTTAACTTACAGGATAACCTGGCCCATTCTCAGAGAGAAAGAGGGATATATAGATACAGATATATTGATAGATATTGATATTTAGACATATATATAGATATAGATATAGATAGATGTATATGTATATATATGTGTGTGAGCATATAAATATAAAAATATACCTATAAAATATGCAATCATAATAAATAGAATTCCTATATATATGATAAAGCTTTTGACTTAGAGGATAAACTAGCCTATTCTTAAATAGAAAGTATTCTTAAATAGAAAGTATTATTATTATATTCTGACTCCGAAGGAGCTGGGGGTGGTGATGGCCTACAGGGAGCTCTGGCATGGGCTGGTCCATGAGGTTCATTCCATTGAAGTATTATTATTATTATTATTATTACTATTATTAGATGAAACCTTTCCCTTATTATTTGTATATTATATTATATTATATTATATTATATAATAAGGAAACCTTTCCTTTATTATTATAATATTATACTATTGCATCATCATTATTATTATTATTATTATTATTATTGGAGGAAACCTTTCCTTTATTATTATTATATTATACTATTGCATTATTATTATTATTATTATTAGATGAAACCTTTCCCTTATTATTATTATTATATTATTAGTAGTATACTATATTATTCCACTGCATTATTATTATTATGAGATGAAACCTTTCACTTATTTTATTATATTATTATTATTATATTATTCCATTGAACTATTATAATTAATATTAGAGGAAACCTTTCCCTTATTTTATTATATTATTATTATTATTATTATTATTATTATTATTATTATTATTATATTGTTCCATTGAATTATTATTATTATTATTATTATTATTATTATTATTATTATTATTAGATGAAACCTTTCCTTTATTTCATTATTATTATTATTGGAGAAAACCTTTCCCTTATTATTAAATTATTCTTATATTATATTATTCCATTAAATTATTATTATTATTATTATTATTATTATTAGAGGAAACCTTTCCCTTATATTATTATATTATTATTATTGGAGGAACCCTTTCCCTTATTATATTATTATTATTATTATTCTATATTATTATTATTATTATTGGAGGAAACCTTTCGGTTATATTATTATTATTATTATATTCCATTGCATTATTATTACTGGAGGAAACCTTTCCCTTATATTATATTATTCCATTCAATTATTATTATTATTATTATTATTATTATTATTATTGAGAGAAACCTTTCCCTTATTATTATATTATCCTTATATTATATTATTCCATTCAATTATTATTATTATTACTATTATTGGAGGAAACCTTTCCCTTATTATTATTATATTATCCTTATATTATTCCAATTATTATTATTATTATTATTATTATTGAGAGAAACCTTTCCCTTATTATTATATTATCTTTATATTATATTATTCCATTCAATTATTATTATTATTATTATTGAGAGAAAGCTTTCCCTTATTATTATATTATGCTTATATTATATTATTCCATTGAATTATTATTATTATTATTATTATTATTATTATTATTATTATTATTATTGGAGGAAACCTTTCCCTTATTATTATATTACCTTTATATTATATTATTCCATTCAATTATTATTATTATTATTGAGAGAAACCTTTCCCTTATTATTATATTATCTTTATATTATATTATTCCATTCAATTATTATTATTATTATTATTATTGAGAGAAAGCTTTCCCTTATTATTATATTATCCTTATATTATATTATTCCATTGAATTATTATTATTATTATTATTATTATTATTGGAGGAAACCTTTCCCTTATTATTATATTACCTTTATATTATATTATTCCATTCAATTATTATTATTATTATTGAGAGAAACCTTTCCCTTATTATTATATTATCCTTATATTATATTATTCCATTCAATTATTATTATTATTATTATTGAGAGAAACCTTTCCCTTATTATTATATTATCTTTATATTATATTATTCCATTCAATTATTATTATTATTATTATTATTATTATTATTGAGAGAAACCTTTCCCTTATTATTATATTATCCTTATATTATATTATTCCATTCAATTATTATTATTATTACTATTATTGGAGGAAACCTTTCCCTTATTATTATTATATTATCCTTATATTATTCCATTCAATTATTATTATTATTATTATTGAGAGAAACCTTTCCCTTATTATTATATTATCTTTATATTATATTATTCCATTCAATTATTATTATTATTATTATTATTATTATTGAGAGAAACCTTTCCCTTATTATTATATTATCTTTATATTATATTATTCCATTCAATTATTATTATTATTATTATTATTATTATTATTGAGAGAAAGCTTTCCCTTATTATTATATTATCCTTATATTATATTATTCCATTCAATTATTATTATTATTACTATTATTGGAGGAAACCTTTCCCTTATTATTATTATATTATCCTTATATTATTCCATTCAATTATTATTATTATTATTATTGAGAGAAACCTTTCCCTTATTATTATATTATCTTTATATTATATTATTCCATTCAATTATTATTATTATTATTATTATTATTATTGAGAGAAACCTTTCCCTTATTATTATATTATCTTTATATTATATTATTCCATTCAATTATTATTATTATTATTATTATTATTATTATTATTGGAGGAACCCTTTCCCTTATTATTATATTATATTATGGTTATGAGTATGATATTGCCATATTGTGAGAGGGAGAAGCTTTCCTGAGGTAATTCTGAGGCGGAGGGAGGGGCAGAGGATGTGACACGCATCTTCAGGACTCCCGTGTCGCCCTGTTCGTGTGAAGGCGTCTCCGCCGGCGCTGCTCCCGGCTCCCCGTTCCCCGTTGCCCTCCCCGTGGCGCCCGGACTCACTTGACGCGGGTCCCCATGGCTGCCTGCCCGCCGGCCTGCCTGCCTGCCTGCCTGCCTGTGAGGCCCCACTTCCGGCTGGGCGCCGCTCACTCACTCCATCCCGTCCGGGCAGCAGCAGCAGCAGCAGCAGGAAAGGCCAGGCCAGGAGGGCGGGAAGTGGACAGCAGCGGGCCGGAAGTGGCCGCGCGGGGGTCGCTGGGAAGTGTAGTCCCGCGGCACAGTCGGCGCGCCGGAAGCCGCTCTCGCTCTCGCCGCCATCGCCGAGCGGGGCGTCGTCATAGCAACGCCTCTCCTCCACAAGGCTTTAGGCCTGAGGGGAAAATAATAATAATACTAATAATAATAATAATAACAACAACAACAACAAATGATTATGCATATAAGTAATAATACATGGAGCGAGAGTTGCCAGACGTTCAAGCTGGATTTAGAAAAGGCAGAGGAACGAGAGACCAGATAGAACAGATTTGAAGGACTAGATTCAGTAAACAGAGTCCCAGAAGAACTATGGACAGAAGTCCGAGACATTGTTCAGGAGGCGGCAACAAAGTACGTCCCAAAGAAAAAGAAAACCAAGAAGGCAAAATGGTTGTCTGCTTAGACACTGGAAGTAGCCCAAGAAAGGAGGAAAGCAAAAGGAAACAGGGATAAGGGGAGATATGCCCAGTTAAATGCGCAATTCCAGAGGTTAGCCAGAAGAGATAAGGAACTATTTTTAAATAAGCAATGCATGGAAGTGGAAGAAGACAACAGAATAGTAAGGACAAGAGACCTCTTCCAGAAAATTAGAAACATTGGAGGTAAATTTCAGGCAAAAATTGGTATGATAAGAAACAAAGATGTCAGGGACCTAACAGAAGCTGAAGAGATCAAGAGAAGGTGGCGAGACTATACAGAAGATCTGTATAGGAAGGATAATAATATTGAGGATAGTTTTGACGGTGTGGTGAATGAATCAGAACCAGACATCCTGAGGAGTGAGGTTGAATGGGCCTTAAGAAGCATTGCTAACAACAAGGCAGCAGGAGATGACGGGATCCCAGCTGAACTGTTTAAAATCTTAAAAGATGATGCTGTCAAGGTGATGCATGCCATTTGCCAGCAAATATGGAAACCACAAGAATGGCCATCAGACTGGAAAAAATCAACTTATATCCCCATACCAAAAAAGGGAAATGCGAAAGACTGCTCAAACTTCCGTACAGTGGCCCTTATTTCTCATGCCAGTAAGGTAATGCTCAAGATCCTGCAAGGAAGACTCCAGCAATACATGGAGCGAGAGTTGCCAGATGTTCAAGCTGGGTTTAGAAAAGGTAGAGGAACGAGAGACCAAATTGCCAATATCCGCTGGATAATGGAGAAAGGCAGGGAGTTTCAGAAAAACATCTACTTCTGCTTCATTGACTATTCTAAAGCCTTTGACTGTGTGGATCATAATAAATTGTGGCAAGTTCTTGGTGGGATGGGCATCCCAAGCCACCTTGTCTCTCTCCTGAGGAATCTGTACAAGGACCAAGGAGCAACAGTCAGAACTGACCACGGAACAGGAGACGGGTTCCAGATTGGGAAAGGCGTCCGGCAAGGCTGCATCCTCTCACCCAACCTCTTTAACTTGTATGCAGAACACATCATGCGAGGATGTGCGGGGCTGGATGAATGCAAGGCTGGGGTGAAAATTGCTGGAAGAAACATAACAACCTCAGATATGCAGATGACACCACTCTGATGGCCGAAAGCGAGGAGGAGCTGAGGAGCCTTCTAATCAAGGTGAAAAAGAAAGCGCAAAAGCTGGGTTGCAGCTAAACATAAAAAAACCAAGATTATGGCAACAAGAATGATTGATAACTGGGAAATAGAGGGAGAAAACGTGGAGGCCGTGACAGACTTTGTATTTCTAGGTGCAAAGATTACTGCAGATGCAGACTGCAGCCAGGAAATCAGGAGACGCTTACTTCTTGGGAGGAGAGCAATGTCCAGTCTCGATAAAATAGTGAAGAGTAGAGACATCAGACTGGCAACAAAGATCCGCCTAGTCAAAGCCATGGTATTCCCTGTAGTCACCTACGGATGTGAGAGCTGGACCTTCGGGAAGGCTGAGCGAAGGAAGATCGATGCTTTTGAGCTGTGGTGTTGGAGGAAAGTGCTGAGAGTGCCTTGGACTGCGAGAAGATCCAACCAGTCCATCCTCCAGGAAAGAAAGCCCGACTGCTCATTGGAGGGAAGGAGACTAGAGACAAAGTGGAAGTCCTTTGAATGCCACATCATGAGGAGACAGCAAAGCCTGGAGAAGACAATGATGCTGGGGAAAGTGGAAGGCAAAAGGAAGAGGGGCCGACCAAGGGCAAGATGGATGGATGGCATCCTTGAAGTGACTGGACTGACCTTGAAGGAGCTGGGGGTGGTGACGGCCGACAGGGAGCTCTGGCGTGGGCTGGTCCATGAGGTCACGAAGAGTCGGAGACGACTGAACGAATGAACAACAACATAAGTAATAATAACAATAGGGGAAATAAATAATAAAATGAATAAATAATAAAAATAAAATAAATAATGATACATATAAATAATAATAATGATAGATATAAGTAATAATAATAATAAATGATTATACATATAAGTAATAATAATAAGAGAGGAAATAAATATTATAAATGATAGATATGATCTATAAATGATAGATATAAGTAATAATAATAATAGAGGACATAATAATAATAATAATAATAATAAATGATAGATATAAGTAATAATAATAATAATAGAGGAAATTAATAATAATAATAACTGATAGATATAAGTCATTTTAATAATAGAGGAGAGAAATAATAATAATAATAATAACCGATAGATATGTCATAATAATAATAGAGGAAGAAATAATAATAATAATAAATGATAGATTTAAGTAATAATAATAATAATAAAAATAGAGGAAATAAATAATAAATAGAATAAATAATAATAATGATAATAAATGATAGATATAAGTAATGATAATAATAATAGTAATAGTAATAGTAATAAATGATAGATATAAGTAATAATAATAGAGGAGATTAATAATAATAATAACTGATAGATATAAGTAATAATAATAATAGAGGAGATAATAATACTAATAATAATAATAACAAATGATTATACATATAAGTAATAATAACAGTAGGGGAAATAAATAATAAAATGAATAAATAATAAAAATAAAATAATGATACATATAAATAATAATAATAAATGATAGATATAAGTAATAATAATAATAGAGGAGATAAATAATATATAGAATAAATAATAATAATAAAATAATGATACATATAAATAATAATAATACATATAAATAATAATATAATTATAAATGAAATAATAATGAATGAATAAATAATAGTAATAATAAAATAATAAAGAAATTAATAATAATAAATAGTATTATTAATAATAAATAGTATTAATAACAAATAATAATTACAAAATGAAATATAATATGTGAAATAATAATAAATGAAATAATCAATGATACATAAAATAATAATATTATAATAAATGAAATAATAATGAAGAAATAAATAATAGTAATAATGAAATAATAAAGAAATGAACAATAAATAATAATAATAAAATAGTATTAATAACAAAAAATAAAAATAATAACAATATCAAATATAAGTGAAATAATTCATAATAATAATTGAAATAATCATGATCATAAATAAAATAATCATGATCATAAATAGAACGAACAACTAATTAATAATGATTATAAATAAAATAAATAATAAATAAAAACTTAAGAAATGAAATAACTAATAATAATAAAATAAATAACGATACAATCATGATAATAAATGAAATGAACAACTAATTCATAATGATAAATAAAGTAAATAATAAATAAATACTTAATAATAAGAAATGAAATAATAACTAATAATCATAAAATAAATAATGATATACATAAATAATAATAATAAATGAAATAATAATGAAGAAATAAATAATAGTAATAATAAAATAATAATAAATGAAATAAATAATAAAAGTATTAATAATAATAAAATAGTATTAATAATATCAAATATAATAAGTGAAATAATAATAATAAATGAAATAACCATGATAACAAATAAAATGAACAACTAATTAATGATGATGATAAATAAAATAATAAATAAATAATAATAATAATAATAATAAATGAAACAATCAACGATAATAAATAAAATGAATAACTAATTAATAATGATGAAAAATAAAATAAATAAATAATAATAATAATAAATGAAATAATAATAATAAATGAAATAATAACAATAATAAAATTAATAACTTATTTACAATGATGATAAATAAAATAAAAATTAAATAGCTAATAATAATAATTTTACGAATTCCGACTCTTCTGAATGTTTTGCACATGCCTAGCAGTTACAAAAAAATGAACTTCCGATTTTCTTATGAATTCCGACTCTTCCGAATGTTTTGCACATGCCTAGCGGTTACAAAAAAAAGAACTTCTGATTTTCTTATGAATTCCGACTCTTCCGAATGTTTTGCACATGCCTAGCAGTTACAAAAAAATGAACTTCCGATTTTCTTATGAATTCCAACGCTTCCGAATGTTTTGCACATGCCTAGCGGTTACAAAAAAAAGGAACTTCCGATTTTCATACGATTTCCGACTCTTCCAAATGTTTTGCACATGCCTAGCAGTTACAAAAAATTAAACTTCCGATTTTCGTACGATTTCCGACTCTTCCGAATGCTTTGCACATGCCTAGCGGTTACAAAAATAAGTTTCCAATTTTTTTACGATTTCCGGCTCTTCCGAATGTTTTGCACATGCCTAGCAGTTACAAAAAAATGAACTTCCGATTTTCTTACGAATTCCAACGCTTCCGAATGTTTTGCACATGCCTAGCGGTTACAAAAAAAAGGAACTTCCGATTTTCATACGATTTCCGACTCTTCCAAATGTTTTGCACATGCCTAGCAGTTACAAAAAATTAAACTTCCGATTTTCGTACGATTTCCGACTCTTCCGAATGCTTTGCACATGCCTAGCGGTTACAAAAATAAGTTTCCAATTTTTTTACGATTTCCGGCTCTTCCGAATGT